CAGGGACACCTCCCCGCCCCCATTAGCCCTGGTGTCCAGACCCACACAGGGTCCTGGGAGGGGCCGGCCTAGCGCCTGGTTAGCAGGGAAAGCAGCCAGTGGGCAGGGCTCTGACAGGAACTGGGGTGATTCCGGGAAGCCGCCTGCACCCTCCAGAGCTCAGTCCACCTGCTTCACTGCTTCTGGGAACCACTGCCTCCCCCAGACCTGGCCCCAGCTCACTGCCCTGCTCCTGGGACAGTGCCCAGGCCTCACCTTAATCCAACATTTCCCTTCAGAGTGAGAAATGCCCTTGTTCTCCCCCAGAAGGACACCAACTCTGGGCCTGCCTGGCCTGAGCCCTGCCCGCTGGCCCTCCAGCCCTCCTGCTCCCACAGGTCCTTCCCTCCTGTTCCAAACCAGGCCCCTCTCAGGACCTAGGAGATGCAGGGAGGGGGGGCCGAGCACACAGGACCCCCCTGATGGAGCTCAAAGCCCAGAGAGGGTGAGACAGGCACAGGGACCACAGCAGAGCATGACCACGTGGGGGGAGGTGGCGGTCACGGGGCTGGGACCCTGAGTGTGGCAGCCAGGCTGGGCCTTCAGGGCAGCTCCTCAGAGGAGGGGTCTGTCTGGGGGGAGGAGAGGAGGAGTAGGCGTGGGGCAGGGGCTGGGGGCAGAGAGAAGCTGGGGTGCAGAGGAGCAGAGGCCAGAGGGAGCTGTGGGGAGGGAAAGGCAAGGCCTTCAGCCAGCCCGGGGCGGGGGCTGGGGAGTCAGGGCAGAGAGGTCGAGGAGGGTGGGAAGGGTCAGGAGGGGCTGTGGCTGCCCGGGGGCATCCTGTGCCCTGAGGCCAGAGGAGGGTGATGGAGAGATGGGACATGTGGGAAGGACACGAGGGGCCCTGGGGGACTGGATGTGGAGGTGAAGGGACAGGAGGCAGGAACCTTGTCAGGAAACTGTGAGTCACAAAATCCAGAACTGGTGCCCTGAAGTGAGTCATGGGCGGGAGATGGACGGGGAAGTGAATTCAGGACAGAACCGTCTCATGATCAGAAGAATCTGCTGGTCACTAACCAGGTTCTGTGCGCTGTCACCTACACTGACAGAGTGGAAAACTGTCAGAATGGACGGCAAATAGTCAGCGAAACCCACCTAATGCAGACGACACTTAGGAGGCTGGGAACAGAGGGCGTGAGTGTAAGGACCGGGTGCTGCTATGGTTCACGCTGCCCGTGGTTGAATATTGGAATCAGTGCCCTCCACTTTGAGGGCAGGGAAACTCCTGTGTGACACTGTAAGGATGGACTCGTGTCATTATAATGTGTCCAGTTTCATAGAATGCACCACACCCAGAGCGAATCTTGAGCTAAACTTAGGTCTGTGGGTTATTACGATGTTCTGATGTAGGTTCATCTGTTATAACAAAACTACACGCTCTGGACAGGGATGCTGATAATGGGGGAGGCTCTGCGTGAATGGAGGGTGGGAGAAAATGGGAAATCTCTGTACCTTCCTCTCCATTTCTATCTAAATCTAAAATTCCTCTAAAAATAAAAATAAGTCTTTTAAAAATTAACCTCCTCAGAGTATCCCTCCGCTAGCACCTAGTGTGCCCTGGGAGTGGTCGCTAAAGGGGCGGGTCCCATGCTCTCTCTTCCTCGCCTGGCCTCTGCCACCAGTGGCCCCACTGAATGGCCTCTCTCCGTGGTGGCAGCACAGCCCCTGACACTCTGACTGGAGACCTGGGGCGCCTCCTCCCCTGGGCTGCGCCTTCCCGGCAGGAGAAAGCTGGGGCCCCGATGTCCTCGGTGCACAGACTCCAGGCGGGGACGAAGCTCGGGCTTCAGAAGGTGGAAGAAGGAGGAGAAGGACTTGTCCTTGCTGCCCAGCAGGGCCCGGCTCAGACCCCAGGGGGAAGGGCCGCCCCC